TCTTCCTGCACCCCTTCCATCCAGTCCTTTGTCCTTCACTTGTAGTTTGAGAAGATGAGACCTGTTTTGCCTGTCAAAGTTTGCCTTGCCTGGATTCCCAAAGCTTATTGTTATGTACTGGGGCCGATACTATTTAATATCTTCATCAGTGACATAGACAGTGGGATTGAGCGCACCCTCAGCAGGTTTGCGGATGACCCCCAGCTGAGCGGTGCGGTTGGTACTGGAGAGGGAAGGGATGCCATCCAGAGGGACCTGGGCAGGCGGGAGGAGCGGGCCCGTGCGAACCTCGTGAAGTTCAACAAGGCCAAGCGCAAGGGCCGGCATCTGCGCTGGGGCAACCCCCAGCATCAATACAGACGGGGGGAGGAGGGGAGCGAGAGCAGCCCGGCAGAGAAGGACTCGGGGATAGCGGTGGATGTTAAATTGGACGTGAGCGAGCAATGTGTGCTTGCAGCCCAGAAAGCTAATCATATCCTGGGCTGCATAAAGAGAAGCATGGCTGCTATACATCTTGCAGGGCATGCCGTGTATTGATTTTAGGTAATATTTAATGTGCTCATACTTGAGACAGCCTCTTGTTGCAGTAGGTGGGGTTTTTTTTCTCAAAAAGCTTTTGCCCAAGATGTGTTTTCCCGATTAAAACTAAGGACCCGATGTACTCCACAGGTCCTGTCCAACCTGTACGATTTTGTGCTTCTGAACGATTCAACGTTTCGAGAATATTTTAAAGGGTAAGTATATGCTCATGTTTATCCCAGTTCAGTAAAACACTCAAAAAAAAAGTACTCAAAATGAGTGCAAGGAAGACATACAAATGCCCCGAAGCATTTGGCTCAAGCTGGTGATTCTCAAGACAGCCTTAACATTTCACTGCAGAACAAGGATGCTGAAGGAAAAGCCATCAGATGGTTTGCCTTCACCAGACACCAGCCTGTGCTAAGTGCAGAAGTCATGCTTGTAAGACAATTTCAAAATTAAAAAGTTCTGCTTTTTAAAAACTGAATTTCAGTATGTTCTCTGAATGCCACCCCGAAACAACAAACCCCATTGTGACTGATTTGTAACTATCTGTAATACAAAACATAAAAAATTTTTTAAAATATTATTTTAAAAAGCAACATTTCATTCCAGAAACACTGGCTGATGAAGTAATTAGCCTTTGTGGAAGGAACTGAAGGGACACTGATAAAAGGAAAAGAAAATTCCATAGGCTGACATAATTTCATGAAGTACTTCAATTTTCTTAGGAGTACGCTTTCTAGTTGGACACACAGCTATCAACATTTTCCCATTTGCCCTACATAAAAGGCACATTCCTAACCCAAGATCAGTGAACACAGCTTGTCCTCTGGATTCCTGACAATCCTTGCCACAATCACATCATTATTTCATGTACTGCTTTTTCTTTTATTGTGATTCCAGTAGCACTAGTGAAAAGTCAGCACATTTCGCTATGTGATTCACAACCACGCAGCCATTTAGATGTCACTGCACTTTCAATAGGTAGCTGAGAGTTTAATCATAAAAACCCAAGGTTTACCAAACTAAGTTGTTTTCAGGAGATGCCCTTATTTCCTTTTATTTCATGAGCACAGAACAACTCCCACTAGGAGCAATTCAGGCTTATTCTAACACCTGACCTGCCTTAACCCTCTCCAGGTGTCTGCTTTACATCTACCCAAGTCACAAGGTTCTCTAACAGCTGATTTATTTCAGAAAAGCAGCAGCAGGCCTAGGTCTCTACTTAGGTTTCTACTACTCATGCCCAGGATGCTCACAAGTAGGCTTTTAAGACACACCTAAATGACTTTTCGAGCAGCGCTAAGCAACTGATTCAAAAACTAGAGTATCCAGTACTTCATTAGACACTTGTCTAGGCTCTGTACAGGGAACTTAACAGATCTTATAGGATCTGTACAGGGAACTTAATGCCACTTACTTGTCCTCGGGACCAGTAGCGTTCACGAGTTACAATCCATGGCTCAGAGGACCACAGATCTCAAAGCACAATGGATCCAGTTATCATTTATCAACAAAAACTCAAATAATAAACATGCCTTCCAGTCTCAAACTGAATTAGAATCAAACATCCTTTGCCACAAGTAAGGTGCTAAGTTTCCAGAATTTCCTGTTTTATTATAACCTGCCTGGGATTCTTCTTCTCTTTCCTAGGGTTTTCCTCTTTTCACTCTCAGAAGCAGCTCTCTTCTGAGGACTTGCACTCACTTGGCATCGATTTCTGTCTAAACCCATGCCATAAAAATCATGTTCAGCATTCACATGTACTCTAAACGAGATTCCACCCCGCCTTTTCAAGCTTATCACAACCTCTGCCGCCTTCATCTCACTGTCACTGTTCAGCAATTTCTTCATGGCTTGAGGCTAAACCGGGTGAGGCAATTCCTTTTCACCATGCTCTCTAATTGCTGATAAAAGGTAATCTCTTCAGGAAACGCTCAGTACTTTGGGTTTTCCTCACAGAGTTTTTAAAACTGCAGATTAGGGCTGTTAGGACCAATGGTTTCTCTTATAGTTACGCTAGAAGGCATCTCTGAATTCTGCCTCCCTCAAGAAGGGAACTGTGTTCCACTTGGGTCAGGAGACTCAACCCGGTGGCATCCAGCCAAGAACCATACAACCTAAGCCAGGCACTCCAGAGA